TATATATATACGTGCGAGTCACGTCACAGTGAAAAGGAAAGCAGACGCCATTTTACTTCCCTTGCGGTTTTTGGACTTTCACCCCCAACGCCCCACGCCAACATTCGCTAATATTGCCTTTGAACAGTGAGAAGATACAAGTAATGCGAAAAATTGTTTAATAACATATTAAAGATATTCAAGCTCAAGAACACAATTGTTAGGTCAAATTTTTTTGCCAAGAATGTAAAATGCTTCTACACCTAACAAAATCATTTGGAAATTTTAGCTCTTATAGTACTACATGGCCATATAGTATATTTTAATGTTTTTATATGGATTTAATTTTTATATACTTTATTGTGCCTGCTACGTCTTCTTCTGGGCTTTACATGTGTACAATCGCACTAAGCGCTTGGTCTTTGGGGTAAATAGGTTGACTCCATATATAAACCTGCTTTTGTTAAGTTATATTTCAATACAGGCATTTGTATATTATATAGAGTCGGTTATAATCCCATTATTGCCGTCTAAATGCATCATTTTTTATTAAACTTACCGTTTTTGAATTCAATTCAATAGGTGATTGCCGTCGACCAACGTCGCATGTCGATGCTGGAGCAAGACCTTTATCATTTTGCAATTGTGTATAAATTTCACCGTTTATTAGTTGGGACATTTTTTAGTAGTCCACCAGCATTTATTTACCCTCATTTATATTAATATCAGCTTGAACACTGTACGGTATCACTGTTATAATTATGCAAATTATGATCAAGTGGTTGGGGTCTGCTTTTGCAATAGATATTTTTGACTGCATTTCGAAGACCTCCAAAGGTATTCATTCAATACGATCCCAAAGGTGGACTAAGGTAACGCTTTTTGCTTTTAGCTGTTATCTTTGATCTAAATAGTTGAATAAGTATGTCTAATGTCTGCGACTAGTTGATTTGTTTTACAAAATTGTATTATTCTGACTTTCGCCTTAAGTTAAACGAGGTTGAAAAATATTTTAAGATGATCCTACGCTTTAGGAATACAATAGATCTGCGCGACAAAATAAATTGGAGTATACGTTTATGTGTTTCAAATTAATCTGCTAAGCCCTAAGTACGACGATTTTATAGTTTTAATCGCTGTAAATCTACACATTTAATTAATTTTGGAAGTAAGGGCAAATGTATCTTATATCTATTTATAAGATCTATAGTATGTACTACAAAATGCGACTTTTAGAATCACCCTTCTTATGTACGTATGTATAGTATAGTGTCCCAATCGCACTCAAACACTCTGCATTGACAAAAAAAAACAAGTTAAAAAGCCTAAGTCGGATGTCCCGACTTTAAATACTCTGTACATATGTTTACAATAATTAAAAAAATGAAAAAAAAATTTGGATCGATTTTACCTCTTCGAACGCACGTAAAGCATCAGCATCAACAACAGCTGCGGGAAGCGCTTGGGCAGCAAATATATTTATGGCCATAACTTCTTGTTAAATCGGTCTATCATAGTGAAACTTGGGAGGGAGGGAAATTCCAAAATACACATTTTCTGCGTATTCACATAAGGCATCTTGGACTAAAATTTGATGTTCCTAGGTCTTATAGTCTCCGAGTACAGAGTATAAAAAGCAAAAGTATAAAGATTTATTTTGATTAGATTAGATCACAGCTTTGCATTACATTGATAACTTGTCGGTAAAATTTTTTTATACCATAAAGAACCCAACTATGGTGTAAAGATTTAGTTAAACAAGATAAGATCATCTTTACGCCATAGCAGCTTTATATTACTTACGCTGTTAAAGTGTCGTTACCTTTATTTATTACCAAATAAACTTGTTTATATTTGATTTTTTTTATGGAACTTTTGCGTTTTGAGATTGGTCATGTCTGTCTGTCTGTCCGTCTGTATGAGCGCAAGGATATCAGAAAGTATGAGAGGTAGAATAACCAAACTTGGTATCCAGATTCTCCTAAGCCCGAGAAAGGGCAAGTTTGTTCATTTTTTCGATACAATTATACCCTGTACCCAAAGGGTGAAAAAGTACTATACTAGTTTTCTGCGAATGTATGTAACAGGCAGAAGGAGGCGTGCCAGGCCATTCTAAGTATATATATTTTTTGACAACAAACATGTTCACACAGACACGAATAGACGCGCATAGACACTCACATAGACGCAATTGCTTTGTAAATGTGCAATTATACATCGTTGACGTGCGTTCAACATTTTTTAAAAATTTGTTTATAATTATTCTAAACATATGTACAGAGTATTTAAAAGTCGGGACACCCGACTTTAGCTTTTTTGCTTGTTACATGAGAATCTGAAACACCTTGCTCTTAGTCTACCATCACAAGCTTTCAAAATTCTCGAAACATGATCGATATGATAATCGATTCAAAAAATGGTCAGCTATATTCACTCATAAAATTAATCTATATTTATACTCTGTACATGAAATGTACAAGAGTATATTAGGTTTGCGGGAGCTGAAAAATGTAACAGGCAGAAGGAGGCGTGGCAGACCCCACAAAGTATATATATTCTTGATCAGCATGACGAGACGAGTCGATCTAGCCCTGTCTGTCTGTCTGTCCGTCTGTCCGTCCGTATGAACACCTGGATCTCAGAGACTATAAGAGATAGAGACACCAAATTTTGCACAAAGATGCGTTATGTGTGTATTCTATACGAGTTTGCTTTAATTTTTTTGATTTTCCCCCCCACTTCCCGTCTATGGGGGTTTTCCCGATTTTCCATTCGTATAATCGCCTATATCTCGGAGACTATAAGACCTAGGAACACCAAATTTTAGTCCCAGATGCCTTCCCCTCCCTCCCCCTCTACCCCGTAACTCCCGTAATTCTTGGAATTTCGAACTAAATTGGAAATACCCCCAGTTGGTTATTATGTGTCCGTATGCCAAATTTCATTATGATAGACCGATTTAACAAGAAGTTATAGCCATAAATATATTTGCTGCTGCAGCGCTGCTCAAGCGCTGCCCGCGGCTGTTGTTGATGTTGCTGTTTGGTTGACTGCGAAAATGCTTACACAGACACGAATTGATGCGCATAGGCATACATACACTCACACAGACGCAATTGCTATGTAAATGTGCAATTATACGTGAGTTCGAATACCGAGAGAGGTAAAATCGATCAAATTTTTTTTTTTATTTTCTTAATTTTTGTATTTTCTATAATTATTGTAAACGTATATACAGAGTATTTCAAAGTCGGGACACCCGACTTTAGCTTTTTTACTTGTTTTAATAATAAATCAACCTACCACAGTAGATTGGATCATGACTGAGTTAATAAAATTTAAACAGTTCGCCTGTATTCTCGAAATACTTATAACCGATATTGAATTAAAATCGATTAAAAAAGTACAATCTTAGCTACGTAAACTCGCAAAATAAATGTATACTTATGAAAAAAAAAAAATCTAGCCGCTTGAAGGGTAAAAATGTGGTATAGATTCTAGTCGAAATATATCGATTATAATTAAGCATTAGAACATTAGCGTTAAAAAGTTCGTAAAATACCTGCTTATTTTTACGATTTACGCTTGGAGCGCGAGGCCCTTAAATTCGCGGGGCCCGTAGCATTTGCTACTCTTGCTACGTGGCTTATCCGGCACTGGTGTATGCATATCTTTCTGATCAGTAGGACAAGAGAAGTTGATAAGCGCCAATATGGAAACTCAAAGAAACACTGCTGAGCTTGGTTAAAAGGGGAAGCAGTACTTGACGTTGGTTGGTGAAATCAATCACTAGACTGTTGATCAAGAGGTAAAGACCGGTAAAGCTTAAGAACAGTAATTTATAGGGGTTAAAATATCGGACCACAAATAATTGGAAAATTCTTACCGGCTTTTTAGGGTACTACTGATTAAATAATCGCAGGTGGACACATAAGCATAAAATATATATTGCGTGCACCAAAAATAATGTACAGCGAACACATCCTGAAACCTGTAAAGCAAACCGCCAAAGCAAATAGGGCAACAAAAAATGCACAAACAATAATCAAGTGTTCTTTTGTCAAACTTCATCGAGATAGGTCAAGTCTAAAGGAAGTTATGTTGATGCTCTGCCAGGAGTTGTTGTGTCTGCTTTGCCAAAACTCTGCCATATACACAACTTCGTATATGTATGTAGTTCTTTTATTTTGTTTTCAGCATTTCCATCAATGACTGAATATACATATTAGGTTATAAGTTATGCAAATTATATAACATCTGTTTGTTACGCCTACTCTCCTGTGTTTCCAACTGTAAAACTAAAACCTAATTGAACCCCTGCTCTGTTGCTTGTTACATGACATTTAGAAACTTTCTCTCTCGGTTTTTCGCACGCGTTAAGTACTGCTAGCTGCTTCTTCCGGCTTAAAACACACGAGACTTTTGAAAGAAGGGCAGCGGAAAAATTAAAATACTTGTAAGTAGTGTTGGCGCAAAAATTCACAGATACTCATATGAGCATCTATCAAACGGCGGAGTACAAAATTAGAACATTAGAACATTACACTTAAAAATACCATTATGGGACTCGATCCAAATAAACACATCTCCTCTTAGTATTTTATTTCTAATTATTTAATAATTTAAGATTGTATTATATAATACTTAAAGCTCCAGGGTGGAGCCAATGCAACCTTATAAAGCTTTCCTGATATATATAGTATAACATTCTTTAGCCAAGGAACTAAATTTCGTTTGTAACGTCTCTGTAATTTTAATTGATAGGTGGACTGTTTCACGAAATTTGAAAAGTGCCTTAATTTGTATCGGCATGAAGGGTACGTGTAGATAGTAACTGTATTTGCATACGGCAGAGTCTGTGGTAAATGAACATAATTTGTATGTACAGAAATAAGTCTTAGCTCATTTAGTTGATTTGTTCTAAATAAATTTATGATCGAAAATAAATAAATTACATAAAACTGACAAATAAATACTTTAGCTTTAAGCTTTCGATTTTTCGAATTTTCGATAGGGTTTGTTTTTAGCCAAGGAAAATGTTGCTCAGATCTTTTGTGGTGCGATAGACGACAGCTCGATTATTACGGGGCTGTGTTAAGCGAAAGGTGTCTGTGAGAACATCTCCATTTGAGTCCCTCATGTTCCAAAATGTAGAGACAAATTCGTATGGCAGTGGCAGAGCATGGGGGAAAACAGTCCAAGTGACAGCTTCATGGCAGTCGGGCACTGTCAAGGAACCCTTATAGGTGAAAAAGTCGGCCGTGTTCAGATCTCCCAACAGTTGGCCTAGAGTAATGGAACCAGAAACCTGTGCCGTCGAATCGTACTCGATCACATTGGGAATCTGTGCAAATACCCTGCTTAGACCAGGATAGAATTTGCTGGGATACTGCAAATTTGTTCAAATATTAATATAATGTAATATTTATAGATTCATACTACTCACGTTTGCAATTTTGAACATAATGCCTAATACAGCTAAGCCGTCTGAATATTGTGCAGCTTCCGAGACAGTTGCATATCGGATATTTCTATGCACAATATGCATTTCAACGTCATACTGCCTTCTGCTAATGATGTGCTCGGAGCCTCTTGTCGTAGGTGATCCCCAATGGAAGTGAAGACCTTCGGCCACATACTTGGATTTCAATAAGCCACCGGTTATGGTGGGTCTACCACCGTTGACTGTTTCCGGTATATCCATGTGGACTGTTGGATAAATTAAAGAGCATTTATTCTTCAGTATTCTTTGTGTTTGTTATCTCAATTTACCGGTATGTCCATCATTAATCAAAGTCAGAGGTCCTCTGAGTAAGCTGTCATAGTTTATGAAAACAATGCGCGGCAACGGTAGAATAAGCGACTAAAGAAAACAACACCATGACGTAGAGTTAAAAGAAAGCATTTCAAATATTTCTTCATACAGCTAAAATCAATTACTGTGCTAATAAAGCTTGGACGAATTCCCTGTAAACTCGTTCACTGCACGCCGCTAAAATCAGCGCGAAACAGCGTGAAATGTGCAGAAAATTGGAGCGGTCGGAAACAATTTGTTGAAATTCCCAACGATTATCAAATTAGCTGCCAGTTGCAACCGAACTTATCTTATATTGCTAGCTTGCTTGTACTTGTATGTTTGCACGATGAGCGCACATTTTCTTTTGATATGCCATATGGCCATATGGTAATCGAACCGTTAAAACATGTTTTAAAATTAGTTATACAAGTAGTTGACAAATGGAGATTGATCTGAATTCGGTTTCACATATATATGAAATTCATTTTGTGTTGGACCAACAACGGGCTATGCAATATGCACAATTTTCCTTGTAATGGTCGACATACATATGTATGTATGTGTATACTCTTTTTTTAGTATCAAAGAATTTTGTGAACTATCGGAATCGATTATATTCATACAGTTTGATTAAAAATTGAGAATTGAAGTAATACATACTATAAGTAGGTATACATATTGCTGGGCAAGAGAAATGGGTAAGTTAAACGGGCATTGGCATTTTAATTACGACTGTTAAGTACTTGTGGTAACATATGAAAGTCGACGGAAACTTAAATTAGCTAAGAGCCTGCACGATATGTCTATTCCTTCAAAGTATTCATTCGTCAAGTTCTCATAATAGCCTAGTAGAGTTTAGGGTAAAAAAATGTATAACTACTCAAAATACGTTAAGTGATCTCAAATACTTCTTAACTACATTTTCACATATCAAATATCATGATAAAGTTGCGAGTTTTGCCTTTACAAAGAATACATAGGTGATAGATATTCATCACCGATAAATTATTAATACTATAGGTTTTTTTAGAGCCTTTCATTTAACTACAACAGTAGGAATTGCAGACTCTCTTACCCCACGTATTCAAGGAATAATAATTGCAACTTAGAAAAACATACATCCATATAGTACAGTATAGTATATTGAACACAATTTTTTAAGTAGTGCCCACTTTTCTATGAACATTTTCACAATTCCATACATTATCGCTATCCCTGTGCATCAAAAACAAAAACTATCATTCGAACGGTAATTTTTCAGCTTCAAAAACACAAAACACTAAAAATATAAAACATCACAAGGCACAATATTACAATACCTTGTAAATATTTTAATTGTTCACACTAACAATATCTCACATATTCCATACACATTTGTACATACAAGTATGTAAGTACCTGTCTTATATCCAAGTGTATTGGCGATTGTCTCACACCCGATGAACAGAGTCCACCCCAATCCTCGCCGTATTGATCGTAGGTCCATTTTTCATTGCCATTGGTGACATCTGCAAAATGTATACAAAACAAACCAGCCAATTTTTTACATATATTTTACTTTCTTGGAACCACTTATAATAAAAACAAAAACATAAATTTTAAATACGAACTGTATCAGTTTGATTGATAATTTTTCAAATTGGAAATAACGATTTTTTCACTGATATTTTTAAAAACGAGCTGTAACGCATTTCAGGGTCCATTTAAAATAAGTTATGGGCAAATTATACGTTTTGATGACTTTTTATCTCATTATTTTTTTGTTTTGAGTCTCAATTTCTCTACGACCTTTCGAAAAGGCATCTTCAAGATATATTACCGTTTGAGCCTGGTGGCTGATACTGCACGAATGGTAGCAACAGAATAAGTTTATTTTCTTATTTATTTCCGCGTCCTATTTTGTTCAATAACTGAAATGTTGTTATGATTTACATAATTTATGTCGCGTCTCCGTGAAATAACGAATGCTGCTGCTGCTCAGCGCGACGGAACACAACTAAGACAGCATAAAAAACGATTCGGATCTTTTATAGCTACGCAGTAGCAAAGTGTTAAAGCTAACAGCTACCTCTGCACAGCTGCACCCGGCCATTAACCGACTTACATATGGTATATACATATACTTGTATATGTACATATGGGTATGGGGGGTGCGTGACAAACGCAACTATCGCATAAACATCGAATGATTGACACTCCGCTCTAGTGCAGACATCTTAATTGCACAGTTGGGATGGAAATGTTCACAACCCATGATGCACTATGCACGCTTATTTGGGCGTCTAGTTTAAAAATAAAAGAATATTATTTGTGACTTACGAAAGAGCGAAACTACAGCCCAGATATAAACATTTACGTAAGCCGTATGACCTTTCTTCTAATTTCAGTCTTCATCGCTTGCTAAGGTCCAAAAGCATATTTGGTTTGTTCAAAGTAAAAATGTTACAGGCAAAGGGATGCGTGCCTAGCCTCACGAAGTATAAACGTATTTACATACATACATATGTATGTTCTTGAGCAGCCCTGTATATTTGTCTCTCCGTTCATCCCTATGCACCTCGATATCAGAGACTATAAGAGCTAGAGATTCCAAATTTTGTTCCCTACTTATACAAGTATGTATGAGTAAAAAGTATGTACATTTCAAAATTTCCGACTTTGTTTTTATACCCTGTACCCGTAGGGTAAAAAGGGTATATTAGGTTTGTGCAAAGTATGTAACATACAGAAGGAAGCATCTCCGACCCCATAAAGTATATATATTCTTGATCAGCATGACGAGAGAAATCGATCTAGACATGTCCGTCCGTCTGTCCGTCCGTCTGTCCGTCTGTCCGTCCGTCCGTCTGTCCGTCCGTCTGTCCGTCTGGATGAACGCGAGGATCTCAGAAACTATAAAAGCTAGAATAACCAAAGTTGGCATCCAGATTCTCCTAGGGAGTTTATTTTTTTTTTTTTAATTTCCCCCCCCTTCCCCCGCTGCAGAATTTCGTCAATAGCGTCCACATTTCAAATGCTACCTAAACCAAACTTTGCACACATAATTTATATATAATTGTCTACTGTTGTTCAAAATTTTATTCAATTCGGTCAATTCTAAGAAAAGTTATTAGCGAAACAAATTCTCGACAGTACAACCCCCCCAAACTGCAGCAACAAGTTCGCTCTTCTTCTTCCTCTTTTTGCTGCTGCTATGGGCGCATTTAACTCAGTGACGGAAGTTTACCTGGGTACAGGGTATTACACTGTCGGGCTTGCTCGACTGTAGCGTTCTCTCTTGTTAAAATTTATGTAATGATTCACACATAGTTAAGAGTCGACTTTAGCTTTTCCACTTGTTTTTTTAATATTTTTATGTACAGTTATTCTACATTTTAGTCTTGTAAATTTGTTGTAATCTTTAAAAACTTAAAGCTGAGTTTTGTTCTTTTAATAAAGAAAAATTTATGTTTATTTAAATTTTTTTTCAGTGGTGCTTGCAGAAACTTACCACAGTTTTATCACAATAGCATCATATATACATATATACGAGCATTTGTACTAATGCAAGATCGTATGCAACTTTTTCCAAGGGGTGGGGGGGTATATAATGCACGATGCGTTAAAATATTAATTTGAATGTATGGTCGACTTCAGATTGCGAAGTTTTTTTCTGTAGATTACGGGGGAGGGGGAAGGGGGGATTGGGTCTCCTGCTCTCCTGCGAACGCCTTTGAATACCATATAAATTTAAACTTGTAAACATACATACGTACATAACTACATACATACATAGAAACCATCTAGCAATATGCACATTCATAAAGAATTCCAATTAATATGGAAATATTTACTTTCGATAATATGCATGTTGTTATTAATTTGGGTTTTATTGTGAATATTTGAATAACAGTATTTTTTACTTCTATCGATTTCTAAAGTTATACAAAAAAAATTTTTTGTAAATAGGCGCGTTACGCATTTTTGCCCTGAACCGAAATTTGTTGCTTAAGCAAACTTAGCATATACATTCATGCATACGTATATGCTTGTATTTTGAATAAATATTTGTGCTCGGTTCCTCACAACGATATTTCGCGATCTCTTATGTTGATGAAAGACATATGTAAATGCAATTCATATATAATATATAATGTTAATCGTGATGTTTTCGCTTTTTGCTGCCAACAGCTGATTGACTTTTGTGTTAATAAGGGTATGAACTTAAATTGCTTTTGAAAATATCCAATTATCAAATTATAAATTTTATAAACAGTCGAGCAAGCCGACAGTGAAATACTCTGTACCCACACCCTCAAAAAATAATAAAATTTAAAAGAAATAACAAACATGATCTGTTTAGGGCTTATGGGAACCTTGATTAAGTGGGTACACGGTATTTAAGAGCTGAGCCCGCTCGACACTAGCATTCCTTTCTTGTTTTTTGGGGCAATCACGCATAGACATACACGTATGTATGTACATTCATACATACTTGTATATATGTATGTAAATAGATGCAATTCCGATGAAAATCATTTTTTAAGATTTACTTTTAGATTTCACAAAGTGGCCTATTACTTAAATTGAAATATGTACATATACTCTATAATATAGACTCTATATAAATAGATGCTGCAGTTTGTGGGTGTAGTGCTGGAGTGAAATTTATTCGCTAATAATATTTTTAAAAACTGACCGATTTAAATGAAATTTGATATAAAAGTAGATATTTATTCATAGATTACGTGTAAAAAGTTTGGTTTATGGACAGTATTGACAAAATTCTATAGCGATGAGAAGGAAAATAAAAAAAGTAAAGTAAACTTGTATAAACTAAAAACAGCTCTGGTTTATCTACTTGTCCCATTTTAACTCTTTGTCGGTCCTATTTGAAAAGAGTTAATTTATGAAATAACTCCTATGAAATATATGTATCTTAGTATTTTATTATGGTAAGTAAGATGTTGTAGCAACGATCCTTATATATGTGAATACGTACATGTACATGTATGTATTGAAAGATCAGCGAAAACTGATTACCAACACTGTAATTCGCTTGTATTTTGCTTACTTTGGTATTGAAATTCGCAACCAAGGTGAAATGTGGATGCCTCATAGTGTTTGTAAAATATGCATTGAACACTTGCAACAATGGGAATTAAAGGGAGTCAATATACTGGTCCTTTTCCAATATTCTGAGGGTGTTGACGAAGGATGATTTTGTCTTTGGTTCTGTCGTGCAACTAATCTTGGTATAGGTATATCTGCACCAATTTGGCTTGCAATTTTATCTTCAATATGTAAAATATTTTATATTTTTATACTCTGTACATGAAATGTACAAGAGTATATTAGGTTTGCGGGAGCTGAAAAATGTAACAGGCAGAAGGTGGCGTGGCAGACCCCACAAAGTATATATATCATTGATCAGCGTGACAAGACGAGTCGATCTAGCCCTGTCTGTCTGTCTGTCCGTCTGTCCGTCCGTATGAACACCTGGATCTCAGAGACTATAAGAGATAGAGACATCAAATTTTCCACAAAGATGCGTTATGTGTGTATTCTATACGAGTTTGTTTTATTTTTTTGATTTCCCCCCCCCACTTCCCCCTATGGGGGTTTTCCCGATTTTCCATTCGTATAATCGCCTATATCTCGGAGACTATAAGACCTAGGCACACCAAATTTTAGTCCAAGATGCCTTGTGTGAATACGCAGAAAATGTATATTTTGGAATTCCCTTCCCTCCCCCCTCTCCCACGCAAATGCGATTTTCTCTAACTCCCGTAATTCTTGGAATTTCGAACTAAAATTTGGCAAAAACCCCCAGTTAGTAATTATGTGTCCGTATGCCAAGTTTCACTATGATAGACCGATTTACCAAGAAGTTATAACCATAAATATATTTGCTGCTGCAGCGCTGCTCAAGCGCTGCCCGCGGCTGTTGTTGATGTTGCTGTTTGGTTGACTGCGAAAATGCTTACACAGACACGAATAGATGCGCATAGGCATACATACACTCACACAGACGTAATTGCTATGTAAATGTGCAATTATACACCCTTTACGTGAGTTCGAATACCGAGAGAGGTAAAATCGATCCAATTTTTTTTTCTTTTTTTATTTTTTTTATTTTTTATTTTCTATAATTATTTTAAACATATGTACAGAGTATTTCAAAGTCGGGACACCCGACTTTAGCTTTTTTACTTGTTTTATCAGCATTTTCGCGATGTTCCAAAACAAGATCTGTTATAGTTTTTATATGTTCCGCACACTGCAATAAGTCCTAACTTTTGGATTGTAACGCATATGCAGCCGGCGCTATCAGAAATGAATATTCAGCTATAATCACCAAGCATATTATAAAAAACGGCTTCATTGCAGCGGAATGGAGCTGGAATGCAGACTTTTGAGTTGCAGAGTTACCTTCTATAGAAAGTTTTTCCAAGCCGTCTACGATACTTATAAAGTTTTCTTTAAAAAGAGAAATACTTTTGTGACCATCGAGTTTCGCATAGCAAAAAAATTATTATATCTTTAATTGTAGATACAGTGTTGCGTATCTCTGGTACTGCGCTTAAATCATTAATAACTAAATTGAGCCTATGAGCTTGTTTATAAGATACTTTTAAAAGCGTTTGTAGACCTCTAATTTTACCAGCCATAGTGGAACATCCATCATAGCCCTGACCAACAAATTTTGACTGATCCAGTCCTTCTTTTTTTATAAATTCATCAATTACTGAAGCTATTGCTTTCGCATCCATCGCATGCAGACCATAAAACCCGACAATTTCTTCGCGTATAGCTACTTGATTTATATCAAAGAACCGAATCCCAATGGATAGTTGCTCTTTCCCAGAAATGTCTGCACTCTCATCGGCTAGAATGCTGTATGAGTATGCTTTTTTTGCCTGCAAAATTATATTTTCTTTAGCGTCTTCAGCGCACAAATTAATAATATCATTTTGAATTTGTGGAGAAGTGTACTGAGCATTTCTGTTTCCATTTTCTAAATGATGTTTTAAAATATCATCCCCTGCTTTAGCAGTTAATTTTGATATATCATGAAAAACGCCTGAAGAGAATGTAAATTTAATTCTCTAATATATTGCAATCTGAAACTGTATAAGTACTCACCAACATTATCAGTAGATTGGCCTGTACCACGAAGTGGTAGGTCGTGTGTACCGCAAAAAATAACTACTTTTATAATGGAGGTTAGAATCTTTCGATTTTGTTCCATTATTTTTTGGTGACCTGAATTTAACATTATGTCCACTGGTGTATCATTTAGAAATGCATTTGCCTCTATTGCCGCTTCAATATGGCATTGGGTCAATGGATGACTTTTGCACATTTCATGCTTATGATTATACCTGGTGAATGGTTTTCTTACGAAAGATCCCAGAATCCCTTTATAATTTTTTGGGGGAAAACGTACGCAGTAAAAGCATAGAGCACCTTTAACTTTTTTGGAATATGCCAACCACGGTGTGTACATTTCAAGCCAACGTGGCAAAATTTTTGTATTTGGAGATACTGCATCTGCCTCAAAATCATAGCTGTGGGGTGGCACCCAACAATTTCGTAACATATCTATTTTCTGCGTTTTCGAAATCATCGCAGAACGACCGATCCAACTGCCCGCTTTGAACCCCCTTCGCTAAAATCCTAAAAGATTTCCTGGATTGAGTACTTAGAAATTAAAAGCAGAAATTTTTGATGGGCCTAACTACGTCAATTAATTAATTGATAACTATATAGATCTTACAGTCGAGCAAGTCCGACAGTAAAATACCCTGTACACACCACTAAAAGGAAAATTAAAAAAAAAAAATTATTTCAAAAAATTTAATTAATTAATTAAATTAAATATAAAATATTCAACATATGCGTACATACATAAGTGTTTATGTACAATTTCAATAGAATTAATTAACATCAGAATCGTGTGTGTGCGTGTTTGGTTGTTCTAGCTTTTATACTTTCTGAGATCCTTGCGTTCATACGGACGGACGGACATGGCTTATGTTACATACATTCGCACAAAACTAGTATACCCTTTCACCCTTCCGGTACATGGTATAAAAATGTCGGCTGTAGTATGAGTCTACAAGTACACTAAATTTACTTTAATCATATAGATCAATTTCAATTTAATTTAGGAGATCTTAGTGAAGAACAATGAGAACGCTTCCATCAAGATATAAAAACAAGTAAAAAAGCTAAAGTCGGGTCTCCCGACTTTGAAATACTTTGTACATATGTTTAGAATAATTATAGAAATTAAAAAAATAAGAAAATTAAAAAAAATTTTGACGATTTTACCTATCTTGGTATTCGAATTATACACGTAAAGGGTGTATAATTGCAAATTTACATAGCAATTGCGTCTATGTGAGTGTATGAATGTCTATGCGCATCTATTCGTGTCTGTGTAAGCATGTTTGCAGTCAACCAAAGCACCAGCATCAACAACCGCTGCGGGCAGCGCTTGAGCAGCAAATATATTTATGGCTGACACATATTGACTAACTGGGGGTATTTCACAAATTTGAAGAATTATGGGAGTTAGAGAATATCATAATTTGCGGGGACAGGGAGGGAAATTCCAAAATACACATTTGGAAAATCAAAAAAATAAAACAATCTTGCACAGCGCACACACATAAGGCATCTTTGTGCAAAATTTGGTGTCTCTAGCTCTTATAGTCTCTGAGATCCAGGTGTTCATACGGAAGGACAGACAGGGCTAGATCGACTCGCCTCGTCATGCTGATCAAGAATATATAATATACTTTGTGGGGTCTGCCATGCCTCCTTATGCCCGTTACATTTTTCAACTCGCGCAAACCTAATATACTCTTGTACATTTCATGTACAGAGTATAAAAATGGGACTTGTTCTTTTACCAGCTCACAAGATATACTTAGAATCAGGTCTAATATCGTTTGCACCAAAATTTGTATCGGCCAGTGTAATGTATATTAAACGTTGGGTGACGTGAAACGTTTGTGATTTTCATGTCGCAAGCAGAGTATTTGAATAGTCGAAATAAAAGAAAACCATTTTTAATATAGATATTGTTATTACTAACTAGTTTAAAGTACTATACATAATTTAGATAATCGTACGCATGATTACAACAAAAGTTTAACATCAATTTAACCGTGCCAGGGTCGATAAGGCACAGATTGCAATGCGTTCTTAATTAACAAGTTCGTAAATCGTCCTTTTATGGACAGGATGAAAAGCTCAATGCGGCATTGATATACACACAGAAATAAACAAAAATGTTAGCAGATCTTTTACAGTTCAGTAGCAAAGTAGATGCGCTTGCTGGGTCAGAAATCGCCTACGTGCGAAACAAACTCGAAATTTCGTTCAATGCTGTTTTCCACTTCGGGCCCATCGTCAATAAAATGCATTTCTACATGCTCTTGGAACGCCTTGAACGAAATTTGACTGCTGTACATTTTGCCACACATAGGACATGTTTTGTCCATTGCATCAGCCTTCAGTTTCTCCTGTATAATGTTAAGACGGGACGTTGGGGCCGTTGTCATAATATGTCCGTTGTGATCGTTCATGGTCTCGTCCACTTGGCCACTTGTGTATTCATTGTGATATAGTTTGACGTCACTGTTCAGACCTTCATCCGTTTCTAGACTCTTATCTGCCATTTCTGGCTTGTGTGCAGCCTTTTGAGCACAATCAGGGCAAGGTTGCAGAGCTGTAAAACAATAAAACCTACTTTAATAATTTGTTTAGACTAAAGCATTTTGACTAATTTTTTACCTATGCGTGTTTCGATCAGCGTTAGTGCCGAGCTTAGCTCTTGCTGTTGTTTCATGGCCTCTCGTCGGAGGTCCTGAAACCCTTCCATGCAGCTCTTGGCATCCACATTGGCATCATTTTCATTGGCACCGCTGACATTCTCCACATGCAATCCATATGGATAGCCCAGCTCAACATCTCCGGCACCTGTACCAAAATCGTCTAGAGCTATCTCATCTAGACTGATGTCACGCATACCATCTGAGATCATTTTTTGACGCAGGTGAGGATTTGGCGAGTGTTGGGTAAATGTCTTTGAACGAATGAGGTTCTGGTTGGCACCAGTAGCAACGGTTTTCGCCTCATCGTCCTTGAACGAGCTGGTGAACATTTGAAGTTGTTGCGTCTGTTCTTTAGAAATTTGCGAAAGCCGTGACCACAGTCGACGATTTTCATTGGATACCATGTTAATTTGCTCGCTCAGCTGTTCCTTTTGCCGCTGAAGATCTGCTACTTGGCCGCGAAGCGACCGAACTTCGGTCAAATCACCACTTCCAGCCTCAGCGCTACTGTCGCTGCCATCACGTAGTCGCTGGTTTTCCTCCTCCATCGTAGATACACGGCGCTGCAATTGTATGCAACGCTCCTTCATTGTCTGCAATGCAACTTGTAACGCGTAGTTCATTTTTTCACTCGAGCTTGTGGTCGAATTGGTTGGGGTCCTTTCGCACGCTGATCTGTCCATTTTGGGCACTGGAATTGAGTCCTTAGAGCATCACTACTTATTGTTACTTCGCAATCAAAAATTTCCGGAATTTCTTTCTTCGGCTGTCTTATACAAATGACGATGCATTGTGTTAGAGATGAAGGTGCCTACGATGGATAAACTATCGATGGTTGGTGGCAACTATCGATGACATTTTCGTTATTACTAAAAAAGCTGCATACATGGAATTTATGAATTAAGTAGCAATTACTATTTTTGTGTTATTTACTGGGAAAGGCTAAAAAAGTACATATTTTATATTTGTGCCAATAAAATACCCGTAGTCTATATAAAGAAATTCGGTTTTTGATGATATTTATAAAATTTATAATTTATAAAATTGGATATGACAGAAGTGCTCTTTTTCAAATACAATTTTATTAAATTCAATATTTGGAAAAGATAATCATTAAGGCATTTTTATGCTATTTACACAAAAAGCCCAACCGATAGTTGCAAAGACCACTCAATAAAACCAGTGATGCCACCTTGCTATAATTTGCTTGTTCGTACAGCTGATGTTTGTTTACCATCGAACTATTATTTAATACCAATAGTAATGATAAAGACAGTTTGCAGCAAAAGTTTAGCCAATACCTTTTATAAATATAAGCGAAAAGTTGTGCAGCATGTTTGCCATAGCGTGACCCGTCTCCATTCATCTAAGCAAAGCCAAACACCGAAAATACTATTTTTTGGGACGGATCGTTTTTCATTGCCAAGCTTAGAGAATTTACATAAAAACTGCGGGTGTGATATAAATATGTATGTATATTTATGTACATTCCATAGTTCTGATCTTACATGCTTACATGTTATATATTTTGTAAAAGCATAAATATGTTTTAACTCTCATCAATTGATTAGGTTTTTGTATTTAAGTAAATTTTAATATGAACTACAAAAACATGCTTCAATGAAAAATTATACAACTAATTATTTAAATGCAATTGCAGGAACACACTTGGTGTCGTTACGTCCTTCAAGAATCCCGCAAATTGTGTCCGGAGTTATGCTGAGCGTGAGCATTTGCCATTGCAGCATTGGCCCATTACTAGCGCAGACTGTGCCGGCTATGATTTAGGTGTGGTGGTCTCCTTTGGTCACCTGATACCGGCATCTATTATAAATGCTTTCCCTCTTGGTATGATCAATGTACATGCAAGCTTGCTGCCTCGCTGGCGTGGAGCAGCACCTATCATCTACGCCATTATGCATGGAGATGCTATAACAGGTGTTTCAATTATGAAGATCGAGCCTCATCACTTTGACGTTGGTGCAGTAAGTCATAAGATTATGCAAAAGGGCCCAAAATATGCTATACATACTTATGTATTACGTTGGTAGATATTAGCACAAATGGAGGTACCCGTTAGAAGTGATGTATACATGCCGGAGTTGCATGCTTCCTTGGCACAGACAGGTGCAAACCTTTTGATGGAAGTAGTAAATGACATACATGAGAAACTCCAAAATGCGAAACCACAAGATAATTATTCTGCAACATATGGTTTGTATTAAAATATTGGGTTCATAAAACAATACGATAATCATATGCAACCGTTCTCAATTTTCATTAAGAAAAATTAAAGTCAAGAAAGTACATTGTATTATATTCGACTGCTTTCAAATAATTACAATGCATTTGTAAATTATACATGCATCCTGCAAGCAGTATATATACAAAATATGAATTTTCGAATTTTCTTCCACAGCACCAAAGATTACGTCGCGCATTACGGAAGTCGTCTGGTCCGACTCGAGCGCAGTCGAATTGTATGCCCGGCATCGAGCTCTCTACGGTTTTAAAAGTCTTACAACAAGTTTTCACGAAAAACAAATTCAGTTACTGGAGCTTCGCGTTCCTGAGCATCCTCTGACAATGGCTTCCCAAACCCCCGGACACTTCAGCTACCAGCGTGCGCGAAAATCTCTATTGATAAACTGTGCCTTGGGCACCCAATTGGAGGTCTTACAGCTGCGCATGCAAAACAAGAAACCAATGAGCGCACAGGAGTTTAGCAATGGGTTTCTGAATTGTGGCAAGACTCTTATGTTACATTTTACGCAAAATAAACAATCTGCTTTTTGTTAACAAACTGGCATTTTAATGCAAAAATGTGCAAATACACATAATAACTGATGCTCAGGGTTAGCCTAAGTCCGTTGGTTTAACCTCTTTAGTTTCTGACTGCTGTTGCGTAGATTTCTGCAGTAGATTCTTCGTGAACCACATGGGGCGTTGCTTTTGCATTTCCACGATTCTTTTTCCTTTCAGTGCGTCGGAGGCTTCTGCAGTCTTTTCGCCATCGTAAAGGACAATTACCTCTTGTTCTACCGGCTCAAGTCCCAAGTGTTCTTGTATTTTGTCTTGCATGAGCTGCGTTTCCTGACGCACCTTATCGTAGCAGTGAGCTGTTGGTATTGTTTAGAAGTTTTACTGCGTTTTTACCATAAGTTGGTTACTACTTACGACATAGCACACCGACTTCGTAATCATGGCCACATTGATTGCACGTGCGCAAATGGGTTTTCACCTTTAACGGTTTCCAAACGTATTCTGGGTAGCCGAATTTACGATTTAATCTCTTTTCAACAGTGCGTCGATGCTTAGGCACAGCCCATAGAACCCCATTGCCCAGAAGTTGTTTGAGATTGAAGTTCTGTGTGCTGCCCACGTCGTTAATTTGTTGATGAAAACCGGCTAAAGCTAGAGCTGCAGGAATATTTTAAAGTAAAGTGTAATGCATTATGTTGCGCAAGAAAGCTATATGTATTAATTTTAATGTGTGTTATATTGAAGAGTTATGGTTTTGGGTTATGGAAGTGTGCACTGCTGGATGCATAAACTTTATCTATATTCCATTTAGAGCTGTATGTACATATATCAACATTTCAATTACTACACACCTGGTGGCGGTGAGCCATTTGGCAGGAATAAGTGCTCCAAGTGTTGTACAAATTTTGTAATTGATAAAAACAAATTACGAGACATGCTTTTATCTGAATTTACGTAAAAATTTAGGAACACCGACAATAGAGATGAGCAATCATTCGAGTTTGTGTGATGCGTAACAGCCGTGACACAAAAATTCAAAACATAAGAAGATATTACAGTTACATAAAACGTAAACTAGGAGTTAAGTGTTCATTTACTTAGTATTATTTATATAGATTTTGTGATCGCATGTAAGCTCCTTAGTATTATTCTCAAAGATATAACAGAATATCCAATTAGATATAAACATTTCTCCCAGTCACAGTTTCAGTGCAGCTCGAAGTTTTACTCATATCTAGCCAAATTCCTTCTCTGTTTTTCAAGGGCTGCCAACTTGAGCCTGTTATGGTGCAGACGAACAGCTGGTCGTTCTTGCAAAACTATTTGACAGTCTAAGCATCAAACAGCTGTTTCGTCGTTATTACGTCAAAAATAGTGAAAAAGGCCGTTCGTATTGCAAAAACAATTAAATGAAATAAACTACAAGGTAAAGTGCTGGACGCTAAGCCGGAAAAAAGAAGAGGATTTGAAGTTGAAATACAACTGGGAATAAAAGATGTTGTGGGCGTCTGTGCATTTGGCATGATGCGAATAGTGCCGCCAGCCTTATCAAGAAACGTGTGCTACAATATCGAAAGCAAGGCTAAGGCTAAAACACCATCGATAGCAGCTGCAAGTGCAGTGGTTGTCAAACTGCATGTAATGCGGATATGCAACTGTAGCGAGAAGCAACGTTAAACAGCATCAAGTTCAAACCGCTCGGACGTTACTTCGGTTGACTTTCGCGTTCGCCGCCGTAACGCCGCTTTAAACTCACCACAGAAAGCTACGCAAGCGCACGAACGAGCCGAGGTACGTGCGCAGGTGGCGGTTAAACCCCAAACACTCTGCTGGAGCTGCTTGAGCCGGACGCAAGCAAAGCGCTTTGCTGCCTAAACTTTGCCGTCGCCATTTGTCGTTAGTCTTTACCCGTCAGTTGTCTGTTGTTGGTTGATCGTCGTAGAGATTTTCATCCATAAGCACCGCTTGTGCTCGTCCCGCGTGTGTGTGCTAGATCGCATCCTGTGAAGAAAACAAAGCCCAATATAATGCTGTTCAAAGCTTGATTGATATCATTTTACCAATAACCAATTGTGTGCAATCAATCGAAAAAGTGATTGTGAATTATTTAACAATATTGAAGATTTTTAGTTAGTTTCTAACCGAATTGCACTTGCTTTGTTTAAAAAAAAAACATCAACAAACAAACAAAGGAAATGGCTTGTCTGAGCACTTCCGGTCGCGTCGCGTACGGTACGCGTCGTCAGCAAACGCACAAATTTCTCTGTCAATTGTTCTTGAATCACAGTCTGCGAGGCCACAGGCACAGCAGCAGCCTCAGCACCACGCCAGGATTCGGAACCCATCGGCTGTCCCCTCAACCTCTACATTTTGGATTTTTGTCCCGTCGCTTCCATGGATTAAATATTAATTCTGGCCCTGCGGCGGTGCACATGAGCAAGGATTACTTTGATTTGTTGGTGAGTTTCGGCTCAGACACCCACGCTTCCTTACAGCTGGTAATTCGTTCAGAAAGGCAAATAAAAAAAACATGTGTCCGGTGTCAGGCTACTTGTTGCCGCTAGTAATTTGTGGTCGGGGCTGTGGCCAACCCGTCAAGCAGGCATTTAGCCAAAGTGCATTGGCTGCATGCGCATGCGCAAAGTGTTTGGCGCTAATGCGTCTGCGTGACTTTGGCTTTTGCTGTTGCTGTTGCTCACTTTTTCGTTTCGCAGCAAAAGAAAATGAAAGTGAAATTGCTGGCTGCTGCTGTTTCGCTGCTTCACTGTTTGTTGGTCATTGCTTTTGTGCAAGTAGCGTGAAAAAAACAAGAGGCTGAAGACAGCACAACATTGATGTTGTTGGCGGAAGCCGCTGTATTTATTTATTATTTTGCTTTTTGCCATTTTCCAACGCCTTGCAGATTTTTTTAACTTTTTTTTACAAATATCATACTTGCAAGGTGAAACATTTTTCTCCCGCCTGTCTGCAGTTTATCATTATTTTTATAACGTTGACAAGTTTGTCTGATCTCGCAGCATTTGTGTTATGCAACTTCGTTTGCTAAGCTTTTTTTATTGGTCATTTTAAATTATGTTTATCGGTCGTGTTGTGTTTTTTGTTTATATAAATTTTGTTTACAACAGCTGATTGCTGCGTACCTAAAACTGTGCGCGTGTTCTTATGCGCGTACACACAGTGAATGTCAAACTGTGTGTAACATGGCGCATGAAATCGATTTGGTAAAGATTTGATAACATTGCAAACGGGAGTATGCGCAAGGGAATTATCAATATCCAACCCGTAGTATTTTTCGTATGTCATCCATACATTTATTGCTGCTAAATTAGTTTGTAATTTTGTACTAAAATTGCCACGGAAAGTGCAGGTGTTAATATATTCTTCTGCTTCATTGCTGCTATTTTCATGCTTCATGACGGTCGACAATACTTAGGTAGAGCAAAAATTATTTAATTAATTTAGCATTGCAAGTTGTGCATTTTAATTGCACGCAACATTTAACAAGGCTCCTTGCACTGTGCTTTCTGCAGACCAACAATTAATATCTACATACTATATGTATATACATAAATAATTAGTAATATTTCAAGGGCTTGACATAAATTAAAGTCATGTGTGTATGTGTGTGGTCGTGTGTGAAAATGTAAAAGGTTAAGTGCTAATAAAACACATTTTAATGTGCACTTTTGATACTCATTAGAGAGCACCTGGCTGTCCTGGGGTCAATAGCTCACAAAACAATGCAACACATGATGATGATGACGACGAATAACGGCAATCTATGTAATAAGTGGATGGCTAATTTCAATAACAAACAGTTTGAAATAATGCAATTCATTGAAATAAATCTCGGATCAAAATAAAAGAAAACACACGATTTCATAATTCTCAAACCATTAAAGAAAATGAAACAAAAGCTGAGCGCAGCCGATTCAAGACTTTGTATGCATTCAGCACTGTTGAATTATTTATGAAATTTTGTCGTTTTGAACATTTTTTAAACCAAATATAAATTCATTCAGCGCCAAATTGGTTGTATATCTGACTAGCAAACAGTCAGAAACGACGTGTGTATGCGTGTTGGTCGAGTTCGCACACACACTCATACCCACAACCGCACACATGCATAAACGTTCATCTATCATAGGTAAACAATAAACAAAACGCAAATAGAAAGCGCACGTTCGTGGCGGCGACGTTTACTGCGGCAGCGCAGTCGGCGACAGCAATAGCCAAAAATCACAAGCAGCACAAAAACACCAACTAATAACAGTCCGCAATAGCAGCAGCAGCAGCAGCAGCAGCAACAACAACGACAAGCCTAACAAATTCAAACAATGCCAACAAAAAATTCACTTTTAACAGTTTGTTTTCAGCGGACTTTCTTCTTCATTTCGTTTTCAGAGCAACGCAGAAGTCTCTGTCTCTTATTCACGTTTTAATTGTCTTGTGGCCAAATATCTTTATCTAACTGATTGACAGACTTCGGTTGGGTTTTTAGCCGCAGTCGGAGCTAGACCAACAGTCTGCGCAAGAAACAGGATTCGCTTATCGACGCGTGTATCTTGGTCAAAATAGTTTCAAAACAGTTTGGTATCAAAATTGCTCGGCATTGTTGCAGCTCTGATTGCTGTTGTTATACTTGTTGTGCCTAACATTTCACTTTCATTGCGAACGCGTGAAATTAGCCAAGAGTTTAACGGCTGCGTGTGAATTTGATAGATGTGTAGACAAGCCAACGATACTAAATTTTATTAAATGTTGGGACCTTTACATACTTATATATATGTCGCACACTAATCGTTAAAAAGCCAGAGGAGCTGTGATAGGAGATTTGAAATTTTCGAACGGTTTTATTAACTTGCCTAAGACCATTTAGGGGATATCATGACCAGAAGTTAAACGGTGCCATCTAATTAGATATAGGCGAACTAATTAGTCATAACTAAATAAATAAAATAAAATAAAACTTTTAATTAAAACAGAAATGAAGTCTCATACTATGAAACAATATGTTTGTTTGTTTGTTTCGTTTTAGCAGAAATAAATGTCAACGAAGACTAAATAATAATAGTTTTATGGATTAACAAATATTCAACATATTTTATCATTTGACGGGGAACTGCAAGTAGCCAACTTAATTTTTTATTGCACAATTTTGAAAGAATTACAAGCATACCAAGCGAGATATCTTTAACGACTGAGAAGTTGCCAATCTTAGTTTATGTTGTGGTAGTAGTTTACAGTTGTACTTGTAGTATCTTAGATTTTAAATCTTGCCTTCCTAAATGGAAGACATATACATCTGACTTTATCCTATCAGCTAGTTAGTCTTATAGACCCTTGATAACTGTTGCGTTGCTTTTTCTTTAATGACAAATAATTGCCCTATTCAGTTAATAATCAATCATTTAATTCTAAAAATAAAATAAAATGGAATTAAAAAGTTTGCAAAAATATTTTTGTTTTTACCAACAAATGGTGGTTGCCAAAATGTAATAAAAAAGAAGCATATAGCTTATATTTGTCTTTAACAGTGCAGCAAACTACTGAGGGAGCTCGCCCGAAGGGAAGTCCGTTTTGTATTTTAAGTTGCGCAAGTTAATGTCAATCTTATTCACAACGAGATCAAGACGAAACCAGTTTTCTTCCCTTCTTCGAGTCCATCTTAAACTGGCAAAAGTTGGTGAGAAAGTCATTAATTTGCGTGTAAGTTAACAGAAACATCTCTCACACACATATAACATCTGAAATCTCTTATATAGCGGCTTATTTATGATTTTGTTATATACATTTGTATGTATTTTTGCGCTTCGCACTTTCACTTGCCGGTTGGTCCGGCTGAAGCCAAAGTGAATTGCTAAGCTAATTAGCCAAAAAAATGTAAGGAATGTCTTGGTAAATTATCGTTCTACGACCTATAAATAACACGTGAATTTTATAATCGCATTTTGTGCTTATGGGCATGTTTATTACTCTTAAATGGTCGATTAATCGTCCAGGCGGCTGGGCGTTCAATTCGTCAAGCTTTGTCTCGTGAAAAGCCGCAATTACTTTCATTCAAAAACTACCATTGCCTACACACACACACACAAACATGGGAAAATAGTGTTACGTACACCTGTTATCTTGTCGCGATGTCTGCTCTTGGGCTTTGGGCTGCATTGGCGTAATTTATTGGCGCTGGTAGCCGCTTTTTCGCTTGATTTTATTATTATTTTGTTGTTGTTAATTTCTTTAACTGTTTGGGGTCCGCACGTTGCCTCGTACTTGCTGACCTAATTCCAGAGACACATGCGTTTTGTTGTCCTAAACTGGTTTTTCAGCTCGGCCTGGCTTGGCCTGGTCTGGCCCAGTACTTTGCTGGCCGTTGATTGGCGGCAGTTACTGTAACTGTTAATGATTTCAGTCGTTTTTTTGTTTTCCCAATAATGTTCGCATTTCGATTTGAAAGCCAAAGAAGCGCCGCACCGCGGTAACTGTGAAAATCAGCCTTTTGGCTTGGGCCTTTAAGTTGATGGCCAGTTGCATAACTCTCGCATCGGACATCCAACCTGTCTCACCCGTCCCTTAAGCTGCCTGCCTACATTTCATCAACGTCGCTCAGAGCTGGCCGAGCCACATGTTTTTGTTTGGAATGGGATTGGTCGTTTGATTGTGATTGCCTTACATATCTTATACTTTATCAATTAACATAAGCTCAGTTTTACATTTTCCCATGGCTTTTGGGCGATTGCCTCACCTTACAACTCACTTACAACTCATCGTCTTATTTGTTGACAATGGCCGCTTCGATTTCTTAGACGCTTGCCTGTCGATTGCTCAGCATCTTTGTCTATATCTGTTGAAGACCCTGACGCATGCAGATGGCATCGATTTTTTTCTTTGATCTTTGTTTTTGTCTGGTCAAGTTTAGTAAAGTATTTAGTGTTGGTGCTTTGATTTGGAAAACTTGTCGCACACATTTGCATTGGCCGATTCACATTACGGACCCTAATTTGACTTGTGGCATTGATGATTACTGAAAGGTCTTTTTCAATTTTCATGTAAATTTACCTACTAACGACCAGTTTTAGATTAAGTCACATCATTTGTATTACAGGGTAGTTAATATCGTAAACTTTGATAACACTTCAACGAAACTTAGGTATTTAAAATCAATGTTATATTGGCGGCCTTGCGCGGAAGGGTATTATGAAGTCATTTCGTTTTTGTAACAGCCTTAAAAACCCCACAAGGAGTATTAGTATATTCTTCATCATCAGCTCAGAGTTTGTTCCGAATATATGATCTCTGCCCATGTTAGAAATTGTATTATGTATAATATTTTTAGAACCAAAAGCCTGTTTCTGTTTCGCAAATAAACTTAAATGTGCCCTTACTTGGGTCTACAGGAATTTTTGAGATGAAAGAAGAAGAAGATTCTGAAGAAAATTCTTATTGTTTATAACAAATATAA